ATTTTCTTTTATAGCACAACCTTTTTAAATCTCGAGTATTTTTGTAGCAACACTGCCACCTAGTGTACAGTCAGAGAACATAACAAAGTACTGTACCTAAGAACACCGATTTGACTATCAATCCAGCCGGTTTAGAAAGCTTGCTGTTTATGCCATTTGAGGCACGGATTTCAAAAAGTAAAGTTTTTATTATTATTTTATTTTATCATAGTAGCTATTTTTGTGTCGTGAAATACTAATGCTGAGTTGTTTATCACTAAAGACAAAAAATATAAAGAAACAGTGATGTCATTTTTTGTTTGATTTTTGGCCACCCTTATCTGCAACAGACAATGGGTTCTGGAGGCAGGAATAAATGCAGTGAATACTTCAATGTTTACATACGAGAGTCCTAAACATTTTTCAAAGTGTGGCACTTTTGTAATGTGGCAAGACATGTCATGTGTTTTGTATTTTATGGACGACCCTTTTCTCTCATGCAGTGACATAAGCTTTGTAGTGAGCATGTCTGTAAAGAGGAAAACACCCTAAAATCCCTACTACTTTGGCGATGGTTCTCGTTTTTTTCAAAGATTGAGGTGAGCATTAAGTAAAGATGTCAAAATAAATTTTGATGACCGTCGATCGCAATTTTGGCACATTAGGCGACGTTTAAATTCCCACATTACGGGTACAGACTGTCATGTTGCATAACTGTATGCCAAGTGAGAAAGGACATATTACATTAGTGTTGGCAACTAAAGAGGCATTTAAACCATTTCACACAAGATTCCATGGGAGCCATAAACTCTTTGGAAATCTAAAATGAATAGAAATATTCTTTTCTTTTTGCTTTCCAATTCTGGAATGGACAATTGCTGAACCGGGTCGAAGCGATATGTCAGCCCCTCTGCCATATTGTTTATGGCTTAAATATTAGAGATATAAATTTGGCAAATAAAAAGCAAATTAAAAAATAAAAGCCTAAAAATCACTGTTGTACATAAAATATATCTGTTTACAAAAATCTTGATTGGTCGTTTCATTTGGTCGTTTCTGTGTTTGCGTACTCATAAAACAATATTCCGTGAGCCTTGATTAATCAGTCAGAATGCTCTCAATTGACTGGCACTCAATAGCTTCACTCCTTTTTGAGTTTTGTTTTGGGTTTTTTTTGAATGGCTGGCATTTTAAAAAAATGTGACCATAAGCGTATCCACGGTTGTTCTAGCTGATCTTCGAGGCGCTGCACAGTCAAGAGCCCAGAGGCTACGTTGTGGGTTGGATCATCGCCATCAGTCTGCTAGTGGGGATCCTCATCTTTTTGCTCCTAGCTGTGCTGCTATGGAAGGTAAAACTACTCATGATTGTATTTTTTTTTTTTTTTTTTTTTTTTATGTGTCAAAGGCTTTGTATGTGTGTTTTGTCACTGGAGTTGGAAATCCAGGTGAGTGAGGTCTCAGCTTCGTGTAGCAGGTGAACAGTCGGTGGCATCTCAGTAAAAACACCGAACTCTCTCCTGGACTGCTATTAGATCCACTTATTACAAACCATCAAAAGGTCCTCCGTTCTATGTAATAACATTTATTGCACAAGGCCTACTGTAATGGTAATGCCCTTCAAATGTTTTGCTCGTATATTTTGTTAATGAGTACTGTAAATGTAATCTCACTGCAGCAGTCCGTGGTGAACATTTTGTGTTTTTGACAGATGGGTTTCTTCCGTCGACGGTATCGCGAGATCATCGAGGCCGAGAGGAACAGGAAGGACAGCGATGATAGCTGGGATTGGATGGAAAAGAACCACTGAGACACATGCTGGCAAAGGTGGTGGGGGTCCCTGTGCCGCCAAAGAGATTTCGGGATCGGGTCATGATGAATTCAACGGCACAGGGCTCCTTTTCAGCCCTGCCGCCCTGGTGGCACTGGGCCCATCAAGCCTTCCATATGTGGAAGAAGAAGAATATTCTCCATATTTTCTGGAGACTTCATGTGTTTTTGAGGGTGGGGGGGTCCCAGGAACTTTCGAGGTGACAGCGTGGCCTGCCAGAAGATGACGAACTACGACAATTTGCAGCTGGCGGCGTGGAGCCGCCGGTTAAAAGTCCGAATGTGGATACTGGTGGACAACAAAAACCTCAGGGCTGTGTTACATAGCAACTTTATTTTTGTACACTTTAAGCCATATTGTGCAAAAAGTGGTCATGGAGAGGAGTTTGGGCCATTGTGTCTGTAGTATGTTTTCCTAAAAGCACTGATGTCTGATATGCCTGAATGCCTCAGCTACGGAGTATAGCCTGCCCAGAACAGATTAGACATATTCCTTATATTGAGAGCGGGCGATTGTGTCCTCACATTGACCATCGTTGAAAGCTATTGTTGTCGTCGAGACACAAAAAACACACGCACACACGGTTTAAAACACTGTAGCCTCTGCTGCTGTCTGCAGAGTTGGCCCGCAAGTGCAGTGAATGCGCTGGCTGAGGTCGTTAGAAATAGTAACACTTTATGGGTCATGCTTTTTCATCTTCTACACCGGTGTTTGCCAACATTTATTGAGCCAAGACACATTTTCACGTTCATCTCGAGTGGCATCAGCATTGATAAGCAAGTACTGTAGCTCACTTTCGGTGATGTTTCGTATGAAGGATTTTTGCTTGTGTAATGTGTTAATGATTCCTAAAATCAGTGCTAGGTATGAAGATGACCAACCCCAAAATAAATACAGGTAGCAGTAAATAGCAATTCACTGGCCACAACATTAGGTACACCTTTATGTTCTCATTTCATCTGCTGCAGTGGGACCTCCGAAGTGGAACTTAGTCTGTACCATCATACCAGTTGTACTAATTTCAAAACAAAAATAAAGAAAATTAATCTGTCCCATTCTTTAATTTAGTATCTTGATAAAACCTTTATTAAACTGTACAGGCATGATTTAACAAGCACTTTTTAATCATCTTAACGGCCATACAAGCATAAAAAGAAGTTAACCACTGTATAACAAAACTAAATACAAATAGTAAAACTACACCACTTTTTTACACAATAACAAACACTTCATTCTGTTCAGGCAGCATTTTTTTTAGATCGATTCGATTTGATTGCGCTGACGTACCTAATGTTGTGCCCAGTGTATCCTAATGGATCATGTTCTAAATTCTCAATGAAATGTTTAACTTGATACAATGAGATAAGATGATGTTATGATTTATGTGCGCGCTGATCCCAATTCGACGACAGCTGCGAGTATTGAGTTTGACTATGATGTTAAAGTATACTAATACTGTAGTTATAGTATCGTATGGAGTCTGGAGTAAGAAACCTGAGCTTCATGGCCCACCGCAGCCTGATGTATGTGTGGGATTGGACCCCCTCATGGGTCTGTAGTGTGAGTCATGCCCTAAAAATAGGTGATGATGGGCTACATTAAATAATTACACATGAATTAGCCTTTTTGGGCTTTATTTGACAAGAACATGAGCAAACCGTCAGGGTAATACAGTAATATAGTTGCTGTTGTCTAATTGCCTCACAGCTTGGGGACCTGGATGACTGAGAATTTACACAGATGTAAAGAAATATTTTAGCAAGTACAGATACATAATTTCTTTGGGATACTGTGACACAAAGTTTAAAAAAAGAAAAAGACTTGGGCAATTATTCTCTTGGGATCACGAAACATTACCGAACTGCTTCCAATAAAGTGTTTAACTGCGCTCAGCCATGCCATTTTGACTTAATGCAGAATACAGTGAAAGGGAATGTATATAAAATGACCCCCAACATGTAACATCTGGAAGTATTTTAAACATTTGAAGACCTCCAGTGCAAATTTAGATTTAGATTTAAATGTACTGGTAATTCAGACTTTCTTCAGGGCTGCAGTGTTGAGAGGCACACTTTAAGATTTTTTTGAACTTCCTGTTGTGTTGTATTAATTGAACTGGCCACTCTTATGTTACCAATGAATTCCACTGTCTTGACAGCATATACTTGGTACACCGTCACGTCTTCAATCCGCTTCATTGCTCATTCAAACCTGAATGCCGAACCAAGGGACACTTGACGTTTCGTTTTGTTGGGGGTGAATTTGAACTGTGATGGAAATAGTTTTTGGTGGTTTCTTATCACCCTTAGTCACACTTTTTTTTGGGGGGGGGGGGGGTTCTCGGTATACTACTGTCACGGATTATCATTTCCATTATAGAGTGTTGGATGTTTTTAAAATGGTGTTTAAATTGTATATTTATCAAATCATGAATAATTCTACAGTGGAAAAAAACCGAATGTTGTTTTCATGAAGTTGATAGACGGTGTCTGGCGCCCTCTACTGGTCGTCGAGCACCAAACGCGCACATGATCACGTTTGGAAACGGAACTCATGGAACGTTTGATATATTTAAACTTTCTCAAAAACACGTTCTTGAGAGCCTCATTTAAGAGCTACTTTTTTTTTTAATTAACAGTCTTTGTTTTGTTTTTTGTTAGTGATCAAAACAGTGGGCCAATTCAATTGATGAAAAATAGAATACTATACAATATAAATATATTATGAAGTCCATTAAACATATAGAATTTCTAAAGAAATTGTGTTAAAATAAAATAAGTACATAAATTGAGCAAAAATTGGCTAGGTTATCAAACTACTAAATTATGGAAATTTTTGGCCACTGCCAACATATAAATGTTTTACAAAGTAACTTTTGGTATTGACTCAAAACAAAAAGCCAAATAATAAAATCTGATGCATTTCCAGTATTGCGAATGAATTTATAATTGTATATTACAATAATCTATCATTTTTTTTGGTACATCTGAGAAAAAACAGCTGTATCAAAACATCTGTCTTTTACTCAAGATTGTCACTGTCAATGGGGGAAAAGAAATTGGTGTGTCTGTTTGGTCATGTGACACCCGTTGCTTGGAAATCGAGCACATGCTGGAGGCTGCACTGAATTATTAACAAACTGCATAGAAGTATTGGTTGGACTAGCCAGAATCTCTCTGTAGACTATAAGTATGTATTCATCACTGGGCCATGGCCTGGTAAGGACAGCCGCAGCAGACCAGGTGGTCGCTCCGTTTGCATGTCACCTGTGTCACCTTGTGCTTCTGTGTGACAACTTGGAGGATCACGAACACTTCAGCCAGTTAGAGGAGGCAGCGCAGACTGTGGCTAAAGCTACTGACAACATGGCTGCAGTGGCCTCTAGGTATGTATTTTGTGAAATTGGATGATTTCAATGCCGGACTCCCTTACTTGACACAACACATGGTGGGTATTAGTTCACTCGCTGGGAAACAAACCAACGCTGCCTGCATGAAAGGAAGCAGCATGTACCACGACAACAGCGCATTAGGAACCGCTGGCGTAATATACGGTTGAGTCAAATCACCACCAAATTAACACCAGTTTGTCCATTTCCAGACAAGTCAGCGATACTGATGATGATGTGCTGCGTAAGGAGATGGCCTCCCTGCTGGAGCCCATCACACTGTCAGGCCAACATGTGCTGCTGGCGGCCCAGAAGCTCAGCATCCAGCCCAGTTTGACGGCGCACAAAGAGGAACTCATTGCTGCTGCACAAACTGTTTTCCTCAGTGTAGTCAAAGTAAGGCGTGAATTAGAGGTGTCAAAATAAATCGATTGACAACTAATCGATTAACCAATTAATTGACCGCTATTTTATCAATGAATTGAGTAATCATTTAATGACATTTTTTTCTTCCAACTTCAAACTGTCTAAATTCTCTGATTTCAGCCTCTCAATAGTAATTACTGTCTTGATGTCTGTGGTACTTAAGGACTTTTGTGTTTAATCAACATAAGACATGTGCAAACATTTGCTTTTACTTTGGGAAACAATGACCAAACTTCGAATTGAAACAGTTTCAGAAAGGTTGACGAGTACAATATCTGACCTTTTATTGTGGCGTTGCTTAATTGTTGTTTTTACCACAAAACAAAACCCAATTTTTAAAAATTGCTGAATTAAAATTACCGGTAGTCTGCATTTTAAAAAATGGTTTTGTGATACACTGTAATGCAAAATATAACTTAACCCGATTATTTGATTCATTGAGATGGGATAATCAATAGAACAATCGATTCTATAAATATGTTATTGTGACAGCTCTAGATGGATTCGTTGGACAGAAGATAAGGAGGGTGGGGGTGGGCAGTATATTCATGAAGAAATTATAACTTTACAAAGACAATAACAATAATTTGCAGTGGGGTAGAACTGCACTGCGTCATACTGAGAGCTGTAATATTAACATTTATTAGCATAATCTGTTATCCAAGGGATTTTCTTGGTTTTCCTCCTTCAGGTTCTGCTCGTGCATGACGACTGTGTAGTGAGAGAAGTCCTTGCAGCTGCCGCTCAAGTGTCCGAGCATCTCTCTGAGCTCGCCTCCTGCTCAGACATTCAGTCCCTGGTGAAAGTCCTTCAGGAGTTTTCCGATGCCTTGCTTCTGCTCAGCCGCCTGACAGCGGAGCGTGCGGACTCCTTAAAGGACCTCCGACAGACCCAAAAACTTGGAGACTCCTTGGAGACCCTAAGGAGGTGCATGCCCATGATGCACACTGCTACCTGCACCACCATCAAGCACCCGATGAGCCAGGAGGCCCAAACTGCCAAGAGCTACATACTTGACAAGGTGAGGAGCGCGATCGATGACATTGTTCGCACCCTGACAGGTGAATGTCAGACAGGACCACTGGGAGCTTGTGGTTTTTATACAGAGAAGAGGAAACGTTTGTCGCAGCTACTGGAAGATTGTTCCAACTCGTCGGTCCTGCCGTGTGGGGATTTGGACACCCTGATTCGAGATCTTGTCTTCCACGGTATGACCGTGGCCAACTGTTCTCGAAGAGAGTTGCAGCAAAGTTTAGTGCTCCACAGTCGACACATTCTCCACTTGTGGTCTGACATAAAACTGATCATAAAGTCCCCCAACAATCTTAAGGAGCATCTTGCGAACATCTGCGCCTCGTTGGGGGAGCTTTTAAAAGATTTCGATGGAGCAATGATGGCCGCCATTCTACATCAACTGTTTGACACATTTCTGGCTGCGGCATGTGCATTTGAAGAATTTTCTCGAATGGTGAGGCAAACTCTGGTTGCAGATTCCTCCATCGAGACAGATCTGAGCTTTCTTCAGTCACCGGTGGAAGAGTTCATATCCTACTTGGATAGACTGATCCAAGTTGCCAGCTTTTTCTCTGCTGCAGCCAATGACGCAAAGAGCCTCGAAAACATGGAGCACTCCCGAGTGTGTCTCACCAGACTCCAAGCTCAAATTGCTCCTTTGTCTCTTGAACTGGCTGACAACTCCATGCAAACACTTCAGAAGCTTCATGAAATGTTTCCCATATGGGAAGAAGTGATTAACCAGCTAGTGGAGTCTCTCAGCTACGTGATGGATATCAAGGAGTTTATGAGTCTAGCCATTAAAGAGATAGCGAATGATCGCAGTGGTTGTGACGCCGCATACAGACAGCAAAGCTACGAGCTCTTTAGTGAACACGTGACCAAGCTAATATGTCGCATGCGGCTGGTGACACACTCAGTCAGGACACACTTGGACCTCAGCGAGGACCCCATCTACAGGAACGGCCTCCTGGTTCTGCTGAAACAAGCTCAACTGTGTCAAAGAAAAACCAACCAATCAGTGAGCGACATGCTTTTAGGTGACAGTCTGAATGTGGAGCACTATTCGACCTTTTCTGACAATGCTTCTGATCTTTTTCGCCAATTGAAAGTCCTCCGAGAAGGATTAGATGGCCACCAGCATCCACATCTACTCAGTCCTTTGCGAGAAGGTGCCCGTCAGACTGATCTCTTGGAAGATGAGCCGTCTGATCTGAATGACGATCGTGGGCTGAGACGTTTGGATTCCTCGATTCTGGATTTGATTGAGACAGAAACAGAACGCGAGGAGGAGGACGAGGACTCAGATGAAGAATGCGTGGAAGTGGAGCTGTCTCCTAAATGTGATGATGATTTAGAAGAACCCAAAAGGATCCAGATGCCTTTCAAATTTGAACTTTTACCCCTCCTAAAAGAAGTTGTGACTGTGACTAAAGAAAAAGATGTTGCGGTCCTCAGCCGGGTATGCACCGGTGTTCTCGAGCTGTCAAACTGCTACTCCCAAGCAACGAGAGAAGCTTTAGCCATCAAAGACGATGTCGACTGTAAGAATTTGGAAAGCTTTCGAGCTCAACTGGTGTCACTGACGCTGCTGCTGGTCCAGACCGCTCAAGAGACGGCGATGAGCTCGTCGCCAGGCACGGAGAACGTCTGCAGACTCTGTACGCAGTTTTCGGACCTCATCAACACCATTCGCAAGGTTCTGCTTCCAGGAAGCGAACCTTGGTTTCACGTCGTTTACACCGAGCTGAGGCGAGCTCAATCAACTCAGACGGATGTCAAACAGCAGCTCGGTGAAATGATGAACCAGTGTGCGGACACCGTGCAGCTGCTCACATCAGCACATATAACCCCTCAAAGTGGAAACCAGGAGACACTGACACTTTTGCACAACAAATTGAACAAAGCCCAGAACAACACAAGACATCTGATAGAGTTCAGGGTCTTATCTGATGGTCAGCTCGATCAGCTCGAGGGTCTGTGCATCCTCTGGGGTCTATCCGTTCGCATTTTGTTCAATTCTCTGGACAGGGTTTTAGGAATGTCCGGCGCTATGAGCCAACACACTCCTCATAAGCAACTTTCCATCTTATCGGAGAACTCGCTGAGAATCCAGGAGGCTGCAAGGCTCACCAGTCTAATTTGTAAAAGTGCTTTTAAATCCAAAGAGTTGACGTCTTACCAGAGCGAGGTGAAGACGCTGACTGAGCGCTACCTTCGAGCCGCAGGGGACCTCGGCGTAATGCCTCGTGTCATGCAGCTCGCGAAGTCAGAGCTCCTTCAAAGGAATCTTATCATTAAGATGAAAGAGCTCTCGGGGCTTTTGAGTAAAGCAAATAAATATTATGACACTCCACTCCAAAATCTGGTCGGCATTGTTCATTTGATAGTAAAGCAAACTGAGAACAAATCAGATGAAGCGCAGCAAAGACTTGAACACTCCGCTACTTCAATTCTGGAAAGGGTGAAAGACGCTAGCAAAAAAGTGGAAGAGAGTTTCAACTACATGAGGGATTCCCGTGAACGTGCCAACCTGCGCTCCCTGAACACACATCTGTCATTTCTGATGTCTGAAATCATCAGCATGGTGCGTCTCATGGCACAGACCTGCTCCATTAGTGACACATTCAACCTGGAAATGAAGATTCAGTGCTGGTCAGCCCAAGCTCACTATGTGGTGGAGGAGATCAGTAAGCAAGATGGAATCCACCAGGAGGTAAAGGAGAACATCAGAGCAAGTCTTCAGGGCACCACCACTGGTGGATGTATCCAGAATGTCCTCATGAAATGCAACGAAAAGACAAATAAAGCTTTTTGGCAGACATATGAAGTTGCTGCAGACTCAAAGATGTCAGCTTGGATTCAAGATGGATCAGCAAAGGATGTAAGTATTTAGTTTTCAGGTTAGATTAAATCTAAACTTAAAATGACCTTTTTGTAAGTTTGTATTAGTGCAGCACTTAGCCTAGTGGTTAGCACGCATGCCTTATTTATCACGAATGGCTGACATTTGTGTTATTTCGATTCAATCGCACTCGTTTGCAGAGCCACAGACATGACATGAGAGGGATAACACTGGCCACAATATCGACACAAATTGACTACAAATTAGTCATTTATTGTCTAAAATGTTCGCATAAACTAACAATTTGTGGCCATGAAGTAGCTGTGGCTCCGAACTGGTCTGTTGGGAGAGCAAATTGTGCGCATGTTCTGTCTATATTGAGGCCATAATTTCATTTTCCAATGTCATATCCGAGGCTCCGCTCAAGATTATCCTCATCGTTTCTTTGCAGTTTGCTTCTGGTTTCAAAGAAGCGTCCGCACTAACCTCCACCTCCTTTTTGCTGAAACAAGAAAGCGCCAGTTGGGATCCCAACGACAACAAGATAGTCCAAGAGACCAAGAAAATGGCAGACACACTGTACAACATGACCCAGTACCTGAGGAATAGAGGCCCAATACTGGTAAGAACCACCAAAAGGTATTTATATGGCTTTTGCTTTTAAGTGTCATGCGTGTTAATTAATCTTTGAGCTTTGGGTTTTCCTCTCTTAGAATAAAGAAGCGTTTGTGTGTGCAGCCAAAGACGTGATGTCAAATGGACAATTGGTGACCAACTTTATTCGAGTTATAGCCAACCACTGCCTGGATGCACAGTGTGCACTGGAACTGTCCCTCATCGTGGAGCAGATTCTCACCATTACCAACCAGCTCAGCATCCTTTCCAGGTCAGAATAAGCAAACAGGCTGAAAACACAACAAAACAAGAGGATGAAAAAAAAAAAACGGTAATGATCTTTTGTATCGCAGTGTCAATTCTGTAACACCTGGCTGTAAATCGTCTGATGAGATCCTGGTGAAGAACACACAGAATCTCCTCCGCACAGTCCTGAAGGGGGTTCATGCAGCAGAGACCGCCTGCATCACAGTAAACAGGACAGACCCACATTGACATATTATGGAATGACGTTCAAATTGTGCTCAAAGGCGTGTGATTTTTCTTGTTTGAGGGTTTAAAGCAGCCGGAGCCAAACTCGGATGGAGCCGAAGCGACCGCTTTGTTTTTCCAGTGGAAGAAGAACCTGGAGGTCCACCGAGCCCAGCAAACCTCCAACCCCAAAACAGATGAGCTGGGTTTGAGGAAGATTTCATCACACTCCGTCGTACCGAGTCTCGTATCTCCAGTACAAGACGGCTCCAACTTGACGCTTCAGTGGAAAGGTCACAGTAATAGAGCTTTATCACAATATTTGCTTTAAGGAGATCATCCCTCATTTTGGCTCTGTTCCCAGAGGGAAGTTGTGTCATTTATTGTGGTTGTAGTTTTCAGTCGCAAAGCGCTGCATCGCTTCATAGCAACAGGGGCTATTAATTATGATACATTATGCCCCTCTTGTATTACCAACACAAAACAATAAACTCACATTGACTGAAAGAGATTTGGACATACATACTGTATTGAGAGACAAAGTATTTCATTAGCGACTGTCACGTAGCTGCAGTAAAATCAATTTCCACTCTTTTATGTCAGGTTGTAGTGTAAACATTTAATTCACATCAAGATATGTACAGTGGACTGAATTTAAAAGCTGATGAAATGTGCACAGAAAACAAAGGTCATCCACATATACACATACAATGAACATGCCATTTAAACAGTTGTGAAAACAATCTAAAAAAGCTCCAATATGGCTTAAAATAATCACACAAGCTCATTTTGAGGAAAGTTTGATATAAAAAACATATTTAAAATTAAAAACCCCCCAAAAAAAAACTGTGACAATGTTATTTACAAGTCCATTGCAATAATTGTAGCAGTTCAGTTCCACAGTAAAATACCTTTCAGTAGGCCAATTTTGACGTGATTTCTAAATTAAAAAGCAATGTGGATCATATGTAATATTGCAATTTTTTGAGATGATGGATTTGGGGTTTTCATTAGCTGGAAGCTATGATAACCATTACAATTATAAAATGTTGGGAAATTAATAATAGGATATTCTAATTTATTGTGATTGAGCTATTACATTTGGTGCTATATACAAGCTTGTCACTCTAAAAAAATATGTTCTGAAATGTTTCATGGATGTTATAACCTGAAAGCATGTAGACCATATGATCAGAACAATCTATTTTATACACATTTAAATTGAGACACTAAACGTAGTGAAACATCCACCTCACATTACAAATAGAAATACACTGTAGGGAAACGCAAAAACAAAAGGGTAATGATTCGTTTTTTTCTTCTTCTTTTTTTTTTTTTGGCCAAATGAACAACTAAACCAAAAAGACATGAACATGCTCAATTCCAAACCATCCACTTATGACTGTGTATAAAGTGAATGCACATGTAAATATACAAAGACATTTATAGCTTAGTAATGATTGGCATGTGTCGCCAATATAACAATTCAATGCAGTTTACTGGGAGAAAGGAGAAGCGGTGGGATCAAAGGTCTTGAAGACTTCTTTGAGAGTCCTGTCTTCGAGCTCCTCCTCATTGAGCTGCTTTGGTGCTTCCACAGGAACTTCTTTCTGCTCCTTCTCTTCCTCTGCATCATCGAGTGCCCCTGCAGAACCTGATCCTGCCAGTTTGGCCTGCCTGCCATCAGTGTATTGGGGTCGGATCAAGCCTGCAAGAGCCTGCATGGGCAGATTATGCACTGCGTAGGGGGTGATGATCGAATCCTGGGGAGGTGGGTGTAGACTGTCGTGATCAGAGGCAGCGTCTGTGGTTTTCGTCTCATCCAAAGAGACGCGGCCTTGACTTGGGGAGTCGGGTTGTGTTGGAGGACCGTCTTTCTTCACTGGATGTTTGAGAATGCCGGCTTTTTTCGGAGGCTCTGCCTGATCCTTCTGAAATGGCTCAGTCTGATTGCGGGGGTCGTACAGACTGATGCCTCCAAGGATTGCTGTGGGGCTTTCCAGGACCCCCCCAGATGAAGCCAGGCGTGGTGCGTAGGGTGGCAGCCTCTCCGCGAGGGAGGAGCAAGCACTGGGCTTTTGTAACCTGGGTTCCACAATTCCTCCAGTAGCTTCTTTCTGACCCAGCAGCTTGGAGTCCAGACTTCCCGTACGCCTGATTCTGGGGTCTAAATTCTTTTGCTGACGTGGATCAACAGGTCTCTCCGTTGAGGATCCGGATGGCAGACGAGCGAGACGCTCCTTCAAACGAGCAGCCGCCAATCTAGGGTCAGTTGGTGGCGGACTGGAAGCAGGGGGGTGGTCTGACACGCTTGTTTTGTTCATCTGAGCATCAGCGATTAGAGGTGGCAGGGGTAGATTGATGGAATGCTCCTGTTTGGGTATCAGAGAAGGAATCAGGTCTTCAGGGGCCCAGATCACCGTTTGGGCGAAGGCCGGACGTTGAAGCAGTATGTCCACTCGAATATGGCTGAACTGTTTCAGCTGGCAGCGAGGGTCCCGCAGCACCACGCCTGGACTGGCCTCCAATGGGATGAGGACTGCTCTGTCTCGGAGTTCCCTCTCCCCTTCATCATCCTCATCTCCAGTGGCCTTTTTTGGGACAGTCGGCTGGTTTTGCTGGCGGTAGGTGGTCGACTCCATAGGTCTTGGTTTCCTGGGGTCCCTGGACAGTCTTGGACCCAAACCTACATCAGAGTCCTTTTTCATATCAGAAGGTCTCTGCACCTTCACACGAGGGTCACTAGGTTGAGTTCTGTCCTTGACAAGCCGAGGGTCACCCAGAGGTGTTGCAGGGGCCGGTGTTGGGGTCTTGGACTGCTGCATCTCACTCTGCCTCTTTAAACATTTTAGGATGGACGTGACACTACTCCCGCCCTCTTCGTCGCTGGAATACCAGTTTGTTGTTTCATCTAGAGGAAAAGAACAAGTTGGACTGAGCTCCGTGCTTTTCATAGAACATCTTTTGGATCAAAAGGGACACTCGCCTCTGTTCGTATTCTTATCATCTTGACTCTCTCCTATTTGTGGCTCGCTCTCATGTGGCTTTGACTCTGGCTGGTGCTGAGTCAGGTGTAAAATGATGGCTTTCTGCACCGCCGAAGGTAAAGACTGCAACTGGAGATCTGGACCTATCTGCTGCTGTAGGTTCTGGACCTGGTTCATTCCAGGTTCCACTAAACAGAACAAAAATAAAGATCCATTACACCTTAAGTAACTCAAAATTCACACGAGTGGTAATCCGATACAAACCGTGATGGCCCACTGGCTGGTTTTGGAGCAAGTTGCTGAGGAGTTCTAGTGGGTTCTGGCCCATCGATGGAAATGGGAAAATGTTCTGCGGCATCTGTAGTTCTGGTACTGCAGGGAATGGAGGTCTCTGCATATTCATCTGATGGTTTATATTTCCACGAAACACCGGCTGCTGACCAGGTAGAATCGGCTGCTGCAATGGGTATCCATGCGGCAGCTGCTGTCCAGGAGGGCTTTGGGTGCTCATGGATGGTCCTGTTGGGTAACCCCCAGAACTTGGCGACCCTAAGGATGGGACTGTGGTAGCGTCAGAGGCTGAAGACACCAAAGCTCCACTTTGTGTTTCTTCCGATCCACCACTAATCTGGTCAGTGCATTCACTGGGATCCTGGGGGTTGGACTCACTGGTAAAGAGATAAAATCACAATTAAATTGAAGTTGACTGATTAAAAGAAACTAAATAAATAAAATCAACTAAGTGTTCCCTGCTTTTCCTTTGACTTACTGAAAGGCAATTTTCTGTGCTAGGTCAACTGTGGGTTGAACCTTGATTTCGAAGAGGGAGGGAATCTTGCCTCCCTGAGAAGACTCATCTGTTGGGCTGCTCTGACCCGGCGTGGGGAGCAAGCCCACGCCTGGAGGCGGCTTGGGAAGAGGGGCGATGCCCTGTTTTCTCAGGTCCTCAAGCTCCAACTCATCCTCACGGGCATTCTCCTCCTCGGTATTAATGATCTTATCATGTGTACAAGAAGAAAAACTTTTGAATTCGTTTTGGATTCTCATGCGCTTTAAATATGTCTCACCTTATCGAGCAATTCTTTCGTCACATCAGTCAGAGCATCATGGGAAAATTTGCAGTTGTCCCCTTGATAACATTTGGCTCCTGTGTGAAAGAACTTGCAAGGATATTCACATTCAGCCGCGAATTAAGGAGCCTTCCTGAATTGGCAGGTTACTTTTACAAGGTCATGGATGATTGTCATTGAAGGATATTGTGCATGTAAATGCAATGGTCTCCTTTGCTGCAGTATCCCTGGAGGTAGAACTTACAAAGTTCCTTCTTCTTATCTGGAATGACCAACTCATGCTCAAACTTGCACTGCTCTCCCTACAGGAAGAGAAGAGCACTTATCCTTTCAGTTTAGTGTTTTTAAACCATATAGTAAACAGTGCACGTCAGCCTTTGGCATTTGCAGATTTTTGGGGGAACAAAAACAGTGATGGCAGCAAAAGAACAATCATTACAGTCTACCAGCTTTGGGGCCAAGTGGGGTAATGCCCACGTTTATTCAGCAGATACAGCACAATGCACTAGAGTGGAACAAAAAGGTCATCTTGAGGAATGATTGGATTTAGCAATCCATTCATTTTCTCGACAGCTTGTCATTAATTCCCACGTTAAGACTGTGAAACAAGAGGGAGTAAAACTCTGAACCTGCTGTATGACTTAAGTGAAGAGAGCTCCTCGTGTATATTTTAATTAGAAAACAATTTTTTCCCAAATTATTTATTATTGCTTGTATTATTATTATGTTCACCTTAGCATCCAGCAGCTTGCAGTCAATTCAAGCGTGCTTATTAGATGTACGTACCTTGATGCAGCGACCCTCCAGAAAGTACTTGCAAATGTATCTTCCATTATGTTCCACTGTGTGTTGACTGATAAATTCCTTGCTCATAATCAGTCGCTTCTTCTGAAAGCCGCAATTTTTGACATCCTGTCAAATAAATGGGAAGACATTAGATCCCCACAACAATTTATTGGAAATCAAAGATTTTATGGGCCTACAGGAGCCGTATCTTCCATATCCTGGTCAACCCCTCTGCCTCGTCCTCCGCGTCCCATCCAGGGTTTCCCCCCCCTCATCTTCTTGTGTTTATTGAGCATCCCTCGAACTCTTCCAGGTCCATTCCCTCTGCCTCTTCCTCTCTGCCCAACTGCGGGGAAACAAATCCGTGCTTATTTATTGCTAATTAATTTGTTTGAGATGAAAGATTATTTCTCACATTGGTGTTTCATGCCCCTCATGTTCCCCCTCTTCCCCATCTGCTCCTTCGCATAGCGGCCCTTCCCCGGGCCAGATGTTGAATCTTTAGACTTGGTGTACTCTGACTCATCGTCATAATGATCCTCCTCATCTTCGTAGTTGTCGCTGTAATCGCTGTATTTGTCAAAATTGCAGCTTTTGTGAGGCGGCGACTTGTGCATGCTGCCGCGTGACGCTTTCTGGTCTCTTCCATGCTGAAAAATCAACAGTGACAAGTGGCAATCATTAACCGTCTGCTTCAATACTATCCAAGGTTGGGTGTGCATACACTCACCTGAGTATTCTGGATGTCACACTCACGTCCGGATCCATGACTCGGTCTGTTTTTGGGTCTCTCGGGACGGTCGTAATCTGAGTCGTAGCTGTCAGAACTGGAGCTGCTTGAAGATGAGTGATGCTGAAAAGAGGGACAGAAACAACAAATTGAATAATGGAACCAATCCAACTTACATTGCAAGTCAAGTCACTTTACTTTTTGTCTGTCCCGTCGCCTCCTTTTCGACCTTCTCTTCTCTCTGGTCTTTTTGTAGCGTTTCCTTGAGTGCCTGTGAGACTTGTCTTCTTTTTCTTTTGTTTTGTCCCATTCCTTCTCCTTTGGCTTTTCTTTGTCTTCAGTCACCTCTGTGGACTCTTTGTTTTCGTCCTCTATCCCGATTCCTTCATCGTCTATTTCTCCATCTTCCAACTCTCCATCCTCTCTGAAACAAACCAATTAAAACATGAGTACTACAGGAGCTAATGTCCATGAATGAATCCAAACCTGTTTTTTTTTTTTTAAACCTTTCCAACGGTTTGGCTTCTTCATTTCAGTTCCATCAAGTTCTCTCCATATGTCAATTGGTAAATTTTTTTTTTTTTTATGTTTCCTACAGTTAATATGTATCATTTATGCCTTTAAAAGAGAAATACAAATAGAGTGATGCAAACTTTAACAAATGAACAAAATTTGAGTAGCATGATTTTTGCGGGACAGCTTTTTTTTCAATAAAGACTGGAAAAGCCAAGGCAATTAATGTATGTGCAAAATTAACTGCCATGCATTTTCTACACTGTTTATACTTGCTTTTGAATCTTCAATTAAGCAAACATTTTTTGGGGAATGTGGGAGGAATAAAACCCTGCAAGACAGGGAGAAAATACAAACTCTACATAGGAAAGCCAGAGCTGAGATTCACACCCCATGCTGCCGGTGCAAAACTCATGAAAATTCATGTACCATGCGTGATTATTTTACTTCGGGTGCAATGGTTACAAAGAGGGAATGGTTGGTCTCTCCTTATAACAACTTACTGTGCTACCAAATAAATGTGAAGTCTAAGATAAATATTGCTGCTTCCATATCACGCTATATCAACTTTTTTTTTTTTTTTAGATTTTAGCCATGTTAAAATGCTAATGAAAAAGTGGTGTTTTCCTTCCATTCACTCATCTTGAAGCCTTCCTGCCCATTCCTCCTCTCGAAGCACCATCTCCACCCGATCCCAGAAAACAACCGGAAAACGAGCCACCCCATACTGCACCTGCAGCCTAAACACACGCCCACTTTCTCAGAGCAGGTGTCCCTGCCTAGAATTAACTGTTGAAAATTACAATAGCATGATAACCATATCATGCTATTTGATGCCAAAATTGTTTGCATATTTGGTGGAAAGTGGACCCAAGCTTACTTGTGGTTTGGCACCTGAAGATTTGCATATTTTTTTAAATGCTTCCTGATATTTTAGTTTTTTTTTTCCTTGTTCGTTTCTCAACCCCCATCCCATTTTTGTGGAAAATGTAGTATATTGAATGTTTATCAGCATTTTTTTTTTTTTGGTCAATTTACCACTTTTATTTTTTTCATCCCCAATGCTCTTATATTGTACTTAGATTTTGCAGGCCCTATCCACAACAAATAGCGGGGGTCCATTGTAGTTAGTTTGCTTAGAGAATCACAAGAACAAGCAAAATTAGGTTTTAAAGATTTAGCCTTTTTTTTTATTGTATGGAATAAAACTGAATATATTTTAATACCAATCAAACAAGTACCAATTAGTGATTGTGCTTGTCTAATAACGAAATAAATCAGACGATAAATGGAGCGACCATTTCATTCAGATTAACACCCAAGTTTAACATGAACAAGGGGGAAAGCTTCATGGATTATTAACCGTATTAGGACACGAAAGATATCACCCTAGTCTCAACACATGGTATGTACTATACAAAAAGCCATTTGAGCATTTATCCGATATCTGAAATTTCCACCTGAAAGGTCCATGTATTAGTCCACTCTTTTTGTCTTCTCTATTATGACAATTCAGGACGCTGGTAGAACATCATCTATTGTGTGGCATTTCTGCCCATTGGGAGGAAAGCCATGGCATTGTAGTAATACAACTACATGTTATTAGTGAGATAAAACAGCACTAGTTGACATCTGTTCACTACGAGTACCACTACTGAAACGTTAGATGATCTAGTAGAAGTGTCTAATGTACATGGACCTTAAGCTGGATACAAAGGATAGTAGTGCCTGTCTTCCCAGAGGCATTATCATCATCATCATCATCCTATGACCACTGAGTTAACATGGCTTCCTTGCAGTACCGACTAGCGGCCAGCAGAGGAAAGAACGTTACAAAAATGGGCGTGTCATTACGTCATGTCTCCCTGCAGATGGCAACAACGCAGTAATGGTTTCATCTCAACACTACACATAATTATGATGATGTCTGCCATCGCATGGAAATGATCGTGAATGAGTAGTTTAGACAAACAGGAAGGCAGGCAGGAAAGCTACAGGCGATACTCCAATGCACTGAAAAAAAGCATGCAAGTAACGTAAAGGGGGGCAGCAGGAATAAGTATAAACTGCCAAATGTATGATGAGGAAAAAACAGAAAACGAGCATGTCGAGGCACAGCACTGGAACGCACAGATGATTGTGTTAAGAATTGCATTAAGATTGTTACTCGACCTTTCGTCCCCTGCCAGCTCAGAGTCTGTCATGTTTTTGTCAAAAACAGAGGCTGGGGGACTGGAAACAAGGCTCACAGAGGCCATTGGAAATCAAATCTCTGTCCAGTACAAGAGTGAATTAACTCAAGCAGTCAATGAGGCGTTGTGTTGTGACAGATGCTGGAAGATGTTCAGACTGCAGGAAAACAAAAAACTCACGGTGTTTCATGTCTCGACTGAGACAGTGTACAGACATTCTCCTCTTTCATACCAATGACGTTTTAACTCTGTGAGCACAGCTCGATACCCCGCTTTGCTAATGTCCCGTCGGTTGACAGCTGCCATGGTGAAAGAAGTGAGGAAACGGAGGGAGAAACAATCTGTGTTGTAACCATGTTCGTTGATTTCAGCATCTTCACGGGATTTCTCAACAGCGATATCATCTCAAAATGGCTACTCTGCCCGTCGCGCACATTCCCAAATGGTGTATTCGTCCGCACGTTTCAAACCCGTTGCGGATCTAACTAACTGGAGCCTACGAATTACCGTCCGTGATTGGTCATAGTTTGGTAGCGTCATTACAACGGCGTTTGTCGTTGGTTCAACTTGCCGTCAGTTAACTCCCGCCCCTGTCCCCTCACATTTCCAAGTGTATGCGATGATACGTCTCGCGTGATATTGTAGGATTCGTTCATGCGGAAAATCTGTATTTTGTCTGTTAATTCCACACCCGACGTTTGCTTTGAATATTTTTAATTTTAAAATCACGTTTAGGAAAGTAAATGATAAGTGTAGACGCGCCCTCTATTTACAGTATGCTGTAGATGAGCTCGGCTTCATGAACTCGCGCATTCCACTTTGACCACTAAGTGTCGCTGTATCCCTTCAAGCAATATGAAAGGAATCGCAAACATCAGTTGTTTGGTTTGGAAGCCCCCAACTAGAAGCAAACTAAGAATAAAATTGAAAAGAATTAACATTTGGCTTGTTCAATAACTTTAAATAATAATTATAATAATGACAAAATAATTCAAACCAATTGACTGAGGCTATAATTAAAGATATTGCCATTACACACACACGCACACAAACAATTTTAATTACCATTCCAAAACGTATACTATGTGATTTACAGAACACTTTTGGCGTTATTAACCGAACATATGATGCTATTTCCATGCTGTAAGAAGGCTAGAAAGTGGAGATTGTAGCCTACATTAGTGGGAGGGATTCTTGCTGCAGCAGGCGACGTGTGGAATTTAGAGACCAAACTTTCCAGGAGTACCGAAACATCTTAGACACCTGATGAGCATCCCACTAAAACATTCCGAGTCCAACTGAAGGACGCTTGTTAGAATTATTATTAAATTGACTGTGAGGTGCCACAGCGTTTTTCCTAAAAGAGGAACAAATTAGTGACTGGACGTGGAGATATGGGGCTGTCTTTTTGTTGCAGGTGTTTACTTTTGCTGTGTTTGACAGCTGCTCATAGCCGTGCTGCCGTTCAGGTAAGAATGTTTATCAGTTGTCTAACATGAACTTTGGAATTGGAAGTATTGGTTTCGAGCCTATTTTCTAAATTTTTTGTGTGGCAATATCCTATTCACAAAAATCATATAAGCGGTAGTGAGAGAGGCAAAATGAGTTTTGCTGCAGCATCTGGGTGGAAGATTGAGAATCCTCATTCCTTGTCAGCTGGAGGCACTCGCAACTACACAAGAAAAACTTTGTGCATTTGACTTTTAATGTCTAGGAGGTAGTTGCTGTTGTTGTAAGCCCCCCTCCTTACAAATAGGAGAACAGGAATTCAAGGTATGCCTCCCCTGAGAAATTGCTTCAATGAGCATGTGATTAATAAACCTTGCAGGAAGGATTAAATGCTATTTTGTACTGACTTGGCATCTACTTTTGCTCTCGTAACTGATTGTAGCATCCGTTCAACTTTGATTTTGGCCATTCAGAATCACCCAAAAAGCTTACTGTCCTGTTGCCATGCAAAATATACAAAGGAACAGCATTTGGACTCACGTCCTAGAGACATCTGCCAGACAGATTTTGTCTTGTTGTGTTTGGGTTGCACTTAGAAAATAGGTTGAAGCTGGATATTTTCTATCTGATTGAAAATATTGAATTAAGTTGAATACAAAACATTTGAGAGCCGATGACAAACAGAATCCACATTTCCTCCAATAAGATTATTAGTTTTTTAATGTCATTGTTGGATTAGCAAACCTGCATGGATAAACATCAAGTGGTTGGAGTGCTGCGACAGATGGAGAAGTTTCTGAAAGGCCAAGAGCTTCGATTCACAGAAGGCTTCCGGATCATGAAGTCAAAACTGGCAACCCTGCAGAATTCTGTCTCCAAGTTGCCTCAAGCGGACCAGTCAGCTGGTGAGTAATAAACTGTCACATCATCGTCAAATCATCTATAATTGTAGTTTACAAGGGTGTAGAACTGTACCGCAGACTGCTGATATTTTGGTTATCGACATGAAAAGGGCAGAATATGCTAAGTATATGGGTACACTAATACAGGTCACCCTGTAAAAGGTTCACAAAGGGTTTATACCTCTTTCTAGAGAAATGTTTAGGGCCTACTCAAAATCCCAACATCAATTAGACATAAATGGGCATGCCTAAATGCTATGAGAAATGGTTTTTTTTTACATTTCAAACCCTAACCAAATTCAAATGAATTAATTCCAATGTTTATCCATTGTCACAAGCTGATGAGCATCGTTTCCACTAACAACAGGACTGCTAACAGAGAGTAACGAGTTTAAAAAAGCAGTCAGTATTGCCAACCTGGGGTTTTGCCGCAATATTTTGTGATTATTCCGACCGCTGCCCTATTTTCTTTTCCAAAGTGTCTAGCAAGTTTAATTCCAGTTATGAAAGAGACAACATGATGTGAATAATTTTCACATTATTTTTTTGGTAAATCCCATTGAGACACGCAATTATATGAAAATTTGGCCTACATATAAAGCAGAGAGGAGGTTTAGGATCTCTGGTTCACGGACCCACAGGGCTCCAGGGACCCCAGTTTAGGAACCATTATAAGTCTTCGAATCATGTAAATGCAAATGGGATTATCAACATGTTTATGAACAATTTATAAACACTTTATCAGGAACCCTTGTAACTACATGGCCATTCGGTTAGAGTCATCACATGTGCAAATAGTGTAACAGACATCCTGTGTTGTTGTAAGGTTAAAAGACATTATACTACTGTATTTGCAAATCTGCCGAATGATACAAAGTAATATTACATCTGTAGGATTCGTTCTTAATTCTTCCAGACATGACAACAGATATCTGTTCTTGTGGGATTATTCATCCAAGAAATTCAAGGTCATCCGTCTCTATTTAAATGAGGAAGTGGAATTGTGGGATTGTTGTGTTACTTGGCTGGTTTGTTAGTGAAAATCCAATCCATAACTCTGCATAGCTTTTAACTGGATGCCAAAATACGAAAAGGCAAATCGGTGAAATAAGGTGTTGTTTGGATTCGGTCATTCACAATTTGAAATCTAAAAACAAACAAACAAGAACATTATGCCTTCCCTCCCTTGTTTCTGTGCGCACATTTTTCACATGTGGCGTGGTTCCGTCATGAAGCTTATCCTGTTCATCTGGAAAACATTGAACTGCAAAATTGTTCTCGAGACACAAAAGAACAAAACTCTGAGTTGTTATTAAAGACTTTAGCACAAGCTTCATCGGTGCAGGAAGCTTAAATGTACCATAAAAGTCAAAATTTTAGTGCATTTATAACGTTATGTAATATTAATACTGTATATTGTGCAGGCATTCAACTTTCCAGTCTGCTGTTAATGATGCGTTTTAGACTTCTCGGTGACACGTGTATATCCCCAGGCACCGAATGCCAGAGGATGTTTGGAGGCTTGTTGTTCTCCAGTGTATTCAGCCTTCTTCTTCTTCTTCTTTTTCTTTTTCTCCTCCTCCTTCTTCTTCTTCTTTTTCCCAGCCCCTGCCACCTGTCAGCCCCTGGAAGAACTGGAGCACGGCACAAAGTTTGGATCCAAATACATAGCCGGACATGAGGTGCATTTTGCTTGCTCGCAGGGCTATCATCTCATGGGCTCAGCCACACGTGTGTGCCAAGACAATGGAACCTGGAGCGGAGTGGACGCCGTGTGTAAAGGTGAGCCCAGGTGGCACTTAACCTGCTACTGCTACAAATGAGAGGCGTATGAATGTAGGAGATTGAAATGCAGTTCCAATTGAAAGTGCTATTCGATTCCAGTTCTGAACTTAATTCAATTCCGAGTTAAATCCAATTATATTCAAAATTCAATTTAGTTCACTTATTCATCCATCCAATTTCTTCACACACAGCCAGCATGGAAGTCATACAAGTGGATCACTACACTATCGGGGACCCTCGTTTTACAGTTACGGTTTTTATTCACTTTCTTTATACTTCAAATTTTGTTCTAGTCAATACAAATTCCAGCTCCAATTCCAGTTTTGTTTCAAATCCGTTTGAAATTCAACTTTATTTGTCCATAGGGGACTAAATAAAGTTGTGTTTTTCTGCATTCAGAAAAAAAATCCAGAATGCAGAGAAAGGTAGCCTTCACAATGCTTGGACATCTTTGACATTCTGCCAGAAGGCCTATAGTTAAATCTGGCATGGCAGCCAATGACTGAGAGCACAACAAACCACCTTTCTTTCATTCCACTGTGGGATGGATTCCCCAGCCAGCTTTGTGCCTCTATGTTGGGTAACTGTTAAGACCCTCTCTCTTTTCATTCTTTTTTCTCCTCTCACTATCTCACTCATGTTTCTTAACAGTGGTGTCCCGTTAGATGAGATTTGGACCTGAAATGATATCCCAACTATGGTCTGATAGCGCCGAAGTATGCTAAGTATGCTTTTCATATCCCCATCAGCCTGCAGTGGCAGCACTTTTCTTCCACAAAAAGCCCAAATATTTCAACATGAGTTTATTGACATTCACTCACAGAGCAGCAATAGAAGGCATGACCCTACAACAGTATTACCATATCTCTATTCGTGTTTTTTTTTTGTTTTTTTTTAAATATCTGGCATTAGTATGATAATTTTAGCCATGCTAAACGCTATTAACATAGTCTGAGGAGTGGGGGGTGGGGGTGGGGGGTTGCGTTCAAATGAGTTTAAAAATATCCAACTGTGACTTCATTGCTCACTTTTGAACATTCTCAGAATGTGCAGAGCTGGTGTCAGTGATGAATACAGTATCTTGATTTGCTACACACAGAAAAAAAGGATTATATTTACACTCATGTTACTTTGTCCAGAATGCTTTTGAGCACCTCAAAAGTGAGGTACAGGACCCATTTGGTTTGTTGAATGATCAAATGTTTTTATTACTATTAAGTGTGAAAACAATGCTTGAGTGAAAGCACTCATGCAGCTGTTATTTCACTTTCACTGTGTTCAGTGCTCTAAACTGCAAAGATCAACAGATGATGAAGTACAGAAAAGAAAATATGAAAATAATTTATGACGAGGCTACATAACGAGTAAAATACACGAAAGCCAACAGATATTTACAGACTGCCCACATCCCTCTTGCAAGGAATATTTTATCGAGAGTGCCCTGCGATTGTCTGGCGACCAGTTTATTATGTATCCCGCCTCTCGCCCAAAGTTAGCTGGGATTAGCTCCAGCACACCCGCAACTCTACTGAGGATATGCGGTACAGAGAATGGATTTCATAGGGATCTGTGCAATTTGGTTCTTTCTAGCTCAGGTCTATATGCGTGTTTATTCCCCTTTTCTACAGCCTTATTATTATCTAGTCATTTTCTTGTCTGCGGTGCTCCAATTGATGTAGTTTGTGGACATTTAAGCGGAAAGAATCATGTGTCAGGAGAATTCACCAAAATGGACGAGTCCATTAGTAGACAGTGTGTAGCGAGACAGTATAAATCTCAATGCCCAGAAAACTTTAAAAGTAACAGTGTAAGGGCATAGTCAATGTTTCCATCATATCATACTCTGAAGTTCGCTTTTTCATTCTGGAATATCTGTATTGGATTCGACTCTCCAAGTGATGGAAACTAAGGACTTTGTTCTTCCGTTTCCTTTTGCTTGCTCCACCACAGCTGTCCAACCAAATTGTGTTTGGATTCTGTTTCCAGATGACTTAAAATGCATCACACCATATTTTTATAATTACATTTTTGTTCAATTGCCCGTATTCCATTTTGAACTGTTATATTTTCCTTTAAAGGCCAAGTCAAGTGAAAACATTTCTTTACCATGCTATGTTCTATGCAGCCCCACTAGTCGAAATGCGATATTCTGATCGCCAGCACGTGGCAGTACAAGGCAAAATGGCAGCCTGCTGAGATGGATTATGGGTGGATTTTTCTCCTTAATTCATGTTCCACAAACACAATATTAATTATCTTACCATCTTGAGACTAGTGGGGACCCATAGAACATACTGTAAAGAAGAAACTTGCCTTGACTCTTCCTTTAAAATGTTTCAAGTGGAGTCACTGACTGTGTCGCTGTTGACACGCTTGACTTCAGTGCAGCTAGGCAGTGTGGGTTCAGCTCCCACTTAGTGAAAATGTGAATGTGAGTATCAATAGTTTCTGTCTTTTTCACAAGGCTTCAGATCCCATTTACCCTAGTAGGACACGCATGATAGAAAATGGATTGACGTATCAATATCGCAAGTTGCAAACAAACTCACGGGAATTTTTGCTGCTGGGAGAATGTTTATTATCCATCAGGGTAGAAGGATACTTTATATTTGTGCTACCCTCTGTCCCCTCTGACTTCAGACGTCAGTGAATGTGCAAGTAACCCCTGCCAAAATGGAGGTACCTGCGTGGAAGGGGTCAATCAATACAAATGCACCTGCTCACAGAACTGGAGTGGCTCTCACTGCCAGCACCACACTCAGACAGGTATGTTGCACGAAATAAATCACACCGCTCTTTCTTCGGCCGAATTATGCTGCATTCTTTCTTGCAGCTCCTCCCGAGTGGAGTGTAATGAATGACCCAGCCTTCAGCCGAAAACCTCGCTGTGCCCAAGTGAAACAGGCCCGACACTGCAGCTGCGATGCAGGTTTTCACATGAGTGGCACCTCTGATAACAGCATCTGCCAAGGTGAGCTTCTTTTAAATGTAATGTATTACTTCATTACTGTCAAGATTTTGCTGACAAGACAAGGTCAGCATATGCAGTAGCAAGCGGTTCCTGCAGCTTGACATTTGTAGCCATTTCACTTGCTGACTTGTAAACGGTGCAAGAAAACATCCACTAAATGACTGAATCTTTGACTACTAATCAGTGGAGGCCAGTTTGGAACAAAACAAAATAATCCTATCGAGAGGTCACAACCTGATTAGCATCCATTTAGGTCACAGTTCAGGTCCTTTTAGGATGTACAGTAATTCTGTGAGTGGGAAGAAACATGCAATCACAGTGGCATTGACATGAATTGTAAACAATGCTAAAAACGATTCAACGATGCTTTGTGAGCATCAACATACAGCACTTTGGTAAACTTCTAGTCCATTGCTTTGACGTAACCTTTGTAGGCTACTGCTCATACTTTCTGTAGGGGCATATTTGCATAGTTTCTGGGGCTCGCTATGATACAATGGAGTGTAGTATATAATAGTGCCATAGAAAACGGATGGATTGGGTAGTATTAGAAATTGAGAGTCATTTTATAGTGGTTGAACAGTTGAAACACATTAACAGAGTTTAAACAGCGTAAAATTTGCACTTGGAAGAGACTAAGATATTCAGAGCAAATTTTACTCCAAATAGGCAACCCTGCAGACGGAAACAGTCTTCCCATAATTTTGTTCCAGAACGTGATTTTATTATGGTGAATTTCCTCCATCTCAAACATTCCTGCCGTCCTGTGTACGGCAGCCCCGCATGGTGCTGAGATGCCTGCGTTTTCCTGTTTTGCACAGATGTCAACGAGTGTGAAGTCTACCGTCTGGACCAGGGAGGGACGTTATGCATCCATGAATGTGTCAACGTCCCGGGTTCATACCACTGCTCCTGTCCCAGTGGCTACAAGTTGCTCCCAGATGGGCGGAGCTGTGAGGGTGAGTGACAGGAGGGCACAAGGGACAAAGGCTCATTCACGAGGCTTAACAGCTGCGGATCTGACTGGGTGTGTACTGTGTAGGACCAAAGGGGGTTACCTGTGATTTACCAGGGTGCAAAGGTCCCAAACTCCTAGATTCTCCTCATGACCAATTTTTTTAGCACAAAGTTTGTCCCTGGAATGAATGACCTCACCATTTCCCAGCAGAAAGGATCTTTAGGACATGAAGCATTTATGCGAGACTGACCCGAAAAACCAAATAAACAACTGGAGCTCAGCACCCGGCGCTCAGACTGTGGACGGTCTGGCTGCCGGCCCCGCACTCTACTTTCATGCCTCTGCTGTTTTGTCTTCCAGATGTGGACGAATGTTTAAACCAGCAGCACAACTGTAGCCGAGGAACAACGTGTATCAACACTGGGGGAGGTTTTCAGTGCGTCAACCCAGACTGTCCCCGTTCCCATGGCAACGTCACCTACGTCAAAACATCTCCCCTGTACGTGTACCTTTTTAACTTTTTCTTGCTGTTTTATCTTCCATGTTCCAGCAGCATTCAACGGGCTCTTCATGTCGTGTTAGATGAGAATGGAAGAGTGGGCTCCTGGGGGGACACTTTGATTAATAGCAGGAAAAAGGAGAGTAAAATGTCAAGATTGCATTCAGATTTATTTATAACCCTCAAAACATGTCCAAGTTCCCCCGTGTAAATCGGGTCTGAATGTGGAGATTAGCTCGAGAAGAAGGTATGGACTTCATTCATATTGGCACATTTTTTGTTACTTTTGGTCAACACAACCTGGACTAGATATAACGAAACCTACGTGCCAGGATGGATCTAACGTGTAGAATGCAATGAAATTAATAACAGACTGCTGAGATACTGGATGTACGTAATTGTGTGTGCAACTTTTCTACTCAGCATGATAGTTTTCATCATCTGAGAGTCAAGCAAAACGGATATGCAAACGGCCCCCAATCAAGCAACACAACGGCTATTGTTTTTCTTTCTCAATTTCATCAAGTCAGGGACAAGGCTTAAATAAGGTCATCAGAATACTAGAAACACTATTACTGTATACTGTAACATTTTGTTAAATGAGTAAAACAATTATCATGGTAGAGGCACCACTTTAAAACGTCTTGAATGGGGGATATCATGACCTTGTGCAAGTGTACAGAAAGTTGTGACTGGTGAGTGTATTTCATCATTATTAAGCTTGGAGCGCAGCTCAAAGGAGGAAGACGAGATGATTGTACGCACACACACAGAAGCCACATGAGAAGCCCCAAAATACAAAAATAAGATTTGCGGTTCAAGCTGTATAATAGTGAAGCAAACCATATGTGACAAGAGCATGCATACTCAGCAGAACAGCATTGCCAAACATTATTTTCTCTTCAATGCCGTCCAATTGCTGAGAAACATTACAACGTCTCTGTCAAGCCAAGCTGCCTGGTCTAAAGGACTGAAACATAGCACTGTATGCTCTTACTGAACCAGCAGTGTGGTCGAACACCGATGCCAGCAGAGGAGATGACTGAAGCTTTTGGCAGACGCTAACACGGACAAAGCAAAGCATTGCGTAGCTCTATAAGCCCAATCAGATGCGACATTCCAAAACATACAGCCCCACCAGACACAGAGATTCTACCTTTGCAAAATAATAAGGCAAAGTTTGGATCGACTCTATCGGCGATATAGTGATTCAAAGATTTGTATATTATTCCGTGTAATCGTAGTTTGCAGTGGTGGACAATGGCGCTTCAAGAAATCTCTCTCAGTACGAGGCACGTTTTTGAGACAGCTCTCATCGTGGCGCTCATCAGATGCAGCTGTACCTAATGAAGTGTCCAGCCACTGATCATTTGCAGCATGTTGGACGTCATCGTTGATTCTTCCTCACCGCATGATCATTTTCCACGCATTCCAAGTGATGCCAACTGAATGAAGCAATCATCTTAACAGGAAATTGAAAATGCCACACATCTCACATAATTTGCCAGAATTTATTGCTGCTACTTGGAGTGTAGCCACGTCACAATTGTAACTTTCCTTTTAAAACCCACGTATACACACACACGAACACAAAGAAACGTCTGTTTTTCTGGTGTCTTTCAGTTGAAACAAAACAACAACCAGCCTTTAATTTGATAGGGATGTCATGGAACCGATTTCGGAAATTAAAAGAAACGTTTGTCCACACATTAATACACGGTTACTTTTTTTAAAAAAGTGCTGACAACGTACACAAAGAAACTTTTCACAGCTTACGGAAATCTTTCATGATCTTCTAAGTAAGTGCCTGTATGTACAGTATGTGTGGCCTCTCCTCAAGGCTTAAAACTGAGTTTTGAACTCACTGGCTCTGTATGCTCCCACATGGGTATATTATTTATGTAACACTCATCAAGTACATCGCTGTACTATCAAGGGCACAGTGACCTGTCCCTCATAGCGACTGTTTTGTACCAGGAAACCTATAGTCGTCTATACAGTGTTCCCCCACTACTTCGCGGCTCGGTTGGTGCGGCTTCGTTCTGCCACTTCATCTGTTGTGAGGAAATTATCCATCCATCCATCCATCCATCCATCCATCCATCCATCCATCCATCCATCCATCCATCCATCCATTTTCTGACCCGCTTTATCCTCACAAGGGTCGCAGGGGCTGCTGGAGCCTATCCCAGCTGTCTTCGGGCAGTAGGCGGGGGACACCCTGAACCGGTTGCCAGCCAATCGCAGGGCACACAGAGACGAACAACCATCCGCGCTCACACTCACACTTAGGGACAATTTGAGTGTTCAACCAGCTTGCCATGCATGTTTTTGGAATGTGGGAGGAAACCGGAGTACCCGGAGAAAACCCACGCAGGCACGGGGAGAACATGCAAACTCCACACAAGAAGGCCAGAGCTGGGATCGACCCTATGACCTCTGCTCTGTGAAGCTGATGCGCTAACCACTCGAGAACCGGGCGGAAATTAGTTTGACAAAAACCGAGACTATGAACATTAGAGCTTGCTGTTCCCAAATTCTCCATTCCTGCATCATGGGATATACTCTGAGTGCACCGCTACATTCAGACTGTTCAGAAAACCCAGAATGTTGTTAAACTATGCCGTTCGGTTATTCAGAATGCCCCAAAACATGGAGCAGTTAAATTATTCAGCAGAATTATATTTCTTTGTTGTTTGTTTTGTATTGATATATGTTTCGGACTTTGTGTATACAGTCCGATAAAGTAAAAAAAAATGTGATATAAAATACAATGTAATGATGAAGTGTATTTGTAAGAATTTTTAGGGACAAATGATACTGTTAATAGCTGTGGCGGAGAGTTGGGGGGGCATGGAATATTTTATTTTTCCTGGGTGGGGTTTAACTGAAAATAATTGAGAAGTACTGCTCTAAGGTGATGTGTTTCTATCTTGTATAGTCAGTGTGAGAGGAATCCCTGCCCCATGGAAAGCCGCTCCTGCCACCTTGCTCCAAAGACCGTCTCTTTCCACTACCTCTCCCTCCCGTCCAACGTACAGACGCCCGCCACACTTTTCCGTATGGCCACCGCTGGAGCCCCCGGGCGCGCAGGGCCCGACAGCCTACGCTTTGGCATTGTGGGAGGAAACATGCGGGGTATCTTTGTCATGCAGCGCTCAGACAGACAAACCGGCGAGCTGATCCTGGTCCAGCAACTGCGCGGGCCGCAGGAGATCACCGTGGATGTGGACATGTCGGAATATGCCGACCGCACTTTTCAGGCAAAGCATGTGGCCAAAGTCCACGTTCTGGTGTCACCCTACAACTTCTGAGGATGATGGGGAGGATTAACTGATCGTATTGACCACCTTGATTCCATTGCAGCCAGTCGCAGGTCAGAGCGTGCTTCACTTTAAGATTTTTCTAGTGAAAGCAAGCGAACGTGTGTGAAGATATATTATTAATGTTAGAAATTACAGTACACATGAGGCAGCACGAGAATGTCACTCAGTGACAGAGCACAGAACCTCCACAAGAGCCAAATAACCCTAAAGGGAGTCAATATCAAATTGTACACCCTCAAAGATCCTCATTGTCTTGCATGGACTGCTTTCTCAAGAGCACGTCCTGAATTTGAATTCATCAAATATGATGTTGGAGTTGCAACGAGACAGCAATTTTCCAGTTGATTTGTCAAAACGTTCTGGACACTTTCCCTTGGAAGAAAGATTTTTGAAAATATTCATTTGGGCGAGCAAGACACTTTCCATGTCTCTCATTGCAAATTGGGAATCAACTGGAAAATTTGGGAACTTATTCTTTCAAACGCTAACACATGCCGGAATATATTAGCTTGCATAAAGCAGAATCCTTGTGTAATGGGAATCAGATTCCCATTACACTTGTGCTTCCAAAATAATCACTTTTCAGGAAACCCCCAAAACGACATTTTTTTCTCAACCAGTGTCAAAGAGCTCAAGGTATTTTCAACAACAACCAAAAAAAAATATCTCTCATGTATATATATATATATATAAATGTTAAATAGGTAGGCAGTAGGTGGGGTACACCCAGAACTGGTTATGCCTTTGCGCTCACACTCTCACCTAGGGACAATTTACAGTGTTCAATTAACCTGCCATGCATGTTTTTGGAATGTGGGAGGAAACCGGAGTACCCGGAGAAAACCCACACGGGCACAGGGAGAACATGCGAACTCTACACAAGACGCCTACAGCCAGGTTTAAACAAACCCCCTAATTACTATTAAGTATTTTTTTTTCAAAAATAACAGTTTTTGTTCGAATGCACTGTCCCAAAATTATATATATATATATATATATATATATATCCCTCTGTTCCCCCCAAATGCTGACTTCACTGCTTTTAATTCCCAGTTATTTCCGTGGAAAATATCTAATTGCTTCATCAAAGAGCATCGTTGTGGAGAATAACATGAGTGTTGCTACACAAGATGCCACGGTGTCCAGCCACCTTGTTTTAAGAATGACTGACAACTAGACACACGGGCATCTGTAGTCTTATTGTATATTTTGGATATTTTATTCCTGTTTCTTGTATTATCTTCCATCATATACTGTATATATAGGTACACTATACATTCCTGCTAAGAGTATTTTGCTCTTTTAAAGAGTGGATGATCTGCAGTAGCAAGACATTTCATATTCTGTACCACCCTTCATACATAGTCCATGTATCTTGAAGATAATAACAACTGGACAAGTTGAAACATTGTGTCTACATAAATGAAATAAACTCAGTGTAACATCTCAGCTTTTGTTAGTTATCTCACTCAATGCTGAACAGTGTGCCAGGGCTTGGTTTCAAGTTCGAGTTAGGCAGTGAAACCAAAGCAGAGGTCATTTATAAATCCTGGATAGTGATCAGATGTTCTCTGAATGCATGACAAGAGAGTATTAAGCACACTTTCAAAGCAGTTTGGAACTACTCCGAGACGCGGGAAGTGTCAAATATCTTAAAACACGTCTCATTGTGTCTTTTTTTTTTTTCTTTTTCAGTAAAACAGTAACATGTTGTCTTCCTTCCCCCATCCTCTCACATCTCCATCCTGGACGTGACATTTACACTCAAATGAAATTATATTTTTCCAGAGGGGGGCAAGGGGTTCATGCTTTTTATTTGGTTATTTGGACCACTTATTCCAAAAGATGGGCTGCCGTCTTGCATGATGTCATGTGAGACTTTGGAAAAGGTTGCTCGACATGAACTGACATGAGCTCAGTTCAGTGAGCACAGCATCAACTCTGGGCGTGCGTTTAGCTTTTTCTTTGGCAGTTTCTTTTTTTAATCTCCAAAAGATCAACCGGTATAAACAAGGGCTGTCAAGAGAAGGAGAAAGTCAGAAAAGAAGAAAAAGACACACAGCAAGTTTTTAAAAGTGTAGGGTAACCAAACACGACTTCTTATTGAAGTTAGGGCAGTTTTAATTTCAACATTTTACAAGGGGAAACTTCCTTCTAAACTTGTGTGATGAGTAAGAATGTTGGAAAAGGTGCATGATGTACATTTAGCGCACAAAATAGCTTCATAATTTGTCATTAAATGTTTTGTTGTTTGTTGTTCTAGTGCAGCGGTTCGCAACTGTTGTCAGTTGGTGACCCACAGATTCCTATAGTTGAAAAGTCAGGACCCATTGTTAGAAACAATAACACTTGTTTTTTCATTTTAAAAATAGCCATGGAGCATACATGTACAGTGTATTTATATTTCTAAATGCACTTTCAAAAGAGTTTGTCATACCACCAAAAGCTTAATGCTAGCTTTGATGTCCATTAGCCAAAGTCTGAGCTGCACTGTATTTGTTTACGGAGTAGCTCGTGACTTGAGCACAAGTGAGTATCATTTCTTGACGCTTACCTAATATTGCATGTTCTTTGTGGGAAATTGGCACGTCTCAGTACTGTTCTGAAAAGATCCGGATATAAATAAGTTTAAATTTTTTTAATTTTTTTTTTACTTGCTGTCCACAACCCACCAAAAATAAGTGAATGTGACTGTAAAGGGTTGTCTATGTATATTGTATACAGTGCATACAAAAAGCCTCTACACCCCTGTTAAACTGCCAGGCAAATAAATAAATAAATTGGTCTCAATTTGGACTTAAAAAAATAAATAAAAAATGGTGAAGATCAACAACTGAAATAATGTGGTTGCACAAGTGTGAACACCCTCATCACTGGGGATCTGGCTTTGCTTGAGAATTACCGGTAACCAATCACATTCAACTCATGCCAAATGGGAGGCAGCACGAACCTGCCGCCATTTAAAATGTCTGTGATTAACCCCCTCAAATAAAGTTAGCTGCTCATTTTGTAGTCACAATTTTGAGAGCAAGCCATGATCCAGAGAGAGCTTCCACAGCATCAGACGGATCTTGTTGTTGAAAGATATCAATCAGGAAAAGGGTCCAAAAGAACTTCCAAAGTATCAAATGTACCATGGATCAGAGTGGACGCAGTCATCATCAAGCAGAGAAAACATGGCACGACAGTGACATCACCAAGAACTGGATGTTCCTCCAAAATTGATGAATAGGCGAGAGGAAAACCATCCATGACGCTGCCAAAAGGCCGACAGCATTGAAAGAGCTGCAAGAATCCATGACAAGTACTGGCGGTTGAGTACATTTGACAACAATCTCTCATCTTCTTGTTATAATTATGGGGTAGAGTGGCAAGATGGAAGGCTTATCTTAAAATTAAAGCATCCAGGCACAACAAAAGCATGGTTGAAATCTCCCTAACACCCGAGGGCATTCTGTTATGGCCTGATGGGAAAAAAGGTTAAATTTTTTTGGGCTGTAACTCTACAGTATATGTTGGGCAAGAACAACAATACTCATCATTAAAGAAGACCACACCTACATCGCCACGTATGGTGGCAGCATCATGCTTTGTGACTGTTTTTCTTTTCAGCTGGAACTGGGGATTTTAAATACTAGTCAGTGTTTGGATGCAACCACCAGCGAGAAAGTGAAAAATGTCAGGAAAAGCCTACTTGAACAGCTAAACTTTATTTTGAGTTATTCAGATGCCCATTAAATGGTGGCAGGTGTGTGTTAACTTCCTTTGGATTATCTGAATGTGACTGATGATGAACGGGTTAATTATTTTTTACACTTGTATGACCACTAAGAATGGTGAAGTATTTCTACCATATTGCATTTGCAGCTAATAAAGGATGTATGAGAGTGGCTATTTTCATTTTTCAAAACTCCTACCAAATTCGAAGGTCAAACAGCATCTACCATAACGACTGGTGTTCAACTTCAAAGGTTCTACTCTACACTCGTTATGGTGTGTTAGTTTTCAAGGCTTGTCCTCAAGGCACACGTTGCATCCATTCCGAACGGGACGAAGGATGTTGCCAGAGACATTTGGAGAATGTCAGGGTTGCTAATGCAGGCCATTTGCTGGTGTGTGTGTGTGTGTGTGTGTGTGAGAGAGAGAGAGAGCGAGAGAGAGAGAGAGAGAGAGAGAGCGAGAGAGCGAGAGAGCAAGAGAGCGAGAGAGAGAGAGAGCGAGAGAGAGAGAGAGAGAGAGAGAGCGAGAGAGCGAGAGAGCAAGAGAGCGAGAGAGAGAGAGAGCGAGAGAGAGAGAGAGAGAGAGAGAGCGAGAGAGCGAGAGAGAGAGAGAGAGAGAGAGAGCGAGAGAGAGAGAGAGAGAGAGAGGGGGTGAAAAGACACCTATAAGGCCTTGAGGCAAAGCCAGGTTCCAGTGTGTTTTGGCCTGCGGGTCTCAAATCTGCGCTGGCTTGAGTACAGGGGACAACGAGATAAGAAAGAAGCTACTCAATGCCAAGTTGATGCAGTTAACACATTTGGGGAGTACTGCAAGTCACTGAACATTTTCTATTGTTTAAATGTTATTTGTTTTTTTTATTTTGCTGAGAACCAATTCTTATTTTTGCTGACAAAGAGTAAACAGATTGGAATTTGGCATTTTTTTTTATTTCAGTCAGTAAATCTGAAACTCGATAAAAGATGTGAACACATCCATCAACATGCTAATGGTAGCATCCTGTCACGGTCTGGTCACAGTGGCCTCAGGCATTTTGTTCATTCTCAATGTCACTTCTAAAACAGTTCAAATCCTGATTTATAACTTAGGAAATAGTTGGCCCTTACAAAAACCAAGTTGAGGAACTCACCATGAGGTTTTCCCATTTTACTACCACCCGTGCCATGTGCCATCTCTGATTATACGAACCATGAAATATGAGTATTCAAAACATTACTCATCCCATGATTTAGCAATGTATAGTTACATCAGATGACAAAGTAAAGTACACCGGTACAGAGTATTTTTTGCTTTTTCAAAGATAATATTTAGTTTTGGGCGGCATGGTGGTCATCTGCTTAGCACGTCTGCCTCACGGTGCAGAGGTGCAGGGTTCGATTCTGGCTTCGACCTTCCTCTGCGGAGTTTGCATGTTCCCCCTGTGTCTGTGTGGGTTTTCTCCGGGTACTCTGGTTTCCTCTCACATGCATAGTAGGTTCATGAAACCCTCTAAATTGTCCCTTGGTGTGAGTGTGAGCACGGATCGTTATTCGTCTCTGTGTGCCCTGTGATTGGCTGACAAACACTTCATGGTGTACCTGGCCTACTGCCTGGAAACAGCTGGGATAGGCTTTAAATGAGGATAAGCAGATTCCAAAATGGATCAATGGATATTTTGTTTTGATGAAAACCAATGTAATGGTTCAATATTTATTTTATAAAGTCTTTGACATGCACGGTTATTGATACACATGTGCCCAATGTTTTTGCTTGTGAGTATTATTAGTGTTTGATACGCTGTTGTCGAAATGCATCTTCAAAAAAAAGAGGAAGAAAGCAGGAAGCACATGTTCAACTCACAATATCATCAACAGTCAATGTTATGCTTTTCAAAGACCCCAAATTTCAACGTAACTTCACTGTTCCCCAAAATGTAGAATTTATTTTGAGTAGACAAAAGTATTAAGTGGCAAGGAAGGCCTTGATGATCAAACTGCTTTTTGTGAAGTTTCAATTTTGTGATCCCCTTTCAAACTCAGTTGTGTTTCATTAGCATTAGTCGTAATATTGTCTTTAGAAAGTGATGACGCAACGAAACCAATGTAAAAGAATTCATTTTATTGCAGTAATAACACATAGAATTATAGTCCAGGAAACCAACATAATCCTGTATATAATCTTAAACACTTCCCAACATGGAAAAGGTAAGAAAAAAAATACTTTAAAAATAATCTTAATAAAAACTAAACAACAAAAAACACCTTGTGTAATCCTCATAACTCAGGCAGAAATACTCAAGGTGCAGGTGTCTGTAATTTATATAACCCAAGGACTGACCGTTTGCCATCATAAACACACATTGTGTTTCCCACGACCCTTGAATTGGTAACGATCGTCAACATTGACATTAAAGGGTAATAACCTTGATGTGATCAGCTTGTGCCTTTGCTAACCACTGAAGCATCCCACACAGCATGGCAACAGTGTACCTACTCCTGACTACAATAACACCATCCACCAGACATTTTCCAACAATAACTCAAAAAAAAGAAGAAAACGAGCACAGAAAGCAAAATTGGTCATGAAGAGAAACAAATTGCCATTTTTCCCAGTACATTGAGATTGGTCCAGCTCCGAAGAAGACAGTGTAAACAAAATAGGAGTAAACTTGGCGTGCACATTTCTTTTAAGTACACTTTCATTGCAAATAAATAAGAATGACACAATTCATACACATACAGTATATTGCTTCATCGACACACCCACACAAGAGGACCCTCCTAGTATCAAACGACTGAACACACTTGCAGTTCAATTGTACAAATTACTTTGTCTTCAAATCTTCCCACTCACACATTGAATGACACATCAACACTGAGACGACTGGATCATCACATCAGGCCTCATTACAAGAACGACATTGGAGGCACCGTTTTGATGGTAAAAGTGCATAGAAGCAAAATGGATCTGTTAGCATGCTCATGCATGGGGCCCTCTCTTTTTACTTGTAAAAAAAAAAAAAAAAAAAAAAACCCTTTTTGCCATTATGAAAAA